AAATTTTGGGGTGCAACAGGCTCACCTCGACTGTTCAAAGGATAGGCCTCAAGAAGAGATGTAGTTGGGATGCTTCCTGTCATCACAATGTCAGGCTGAAAAGAAAGAATCTAAACATGAGAAAAAAGAATCCAAAAGCAGTTTGAAATTCAGACAGAAAGCAGTTGAAGATAGGAGTTGGACCTTAGGGCCTTCATCAGCCGGACTGGAGTTGTCGCTTTCAACAGTAACAGTTTGGGGAATTGGGGTACCTCCGACAGAAGCCTTACCAAGGTCTGTACAATGAGCTTGTGATTCAGGGATTTGAGTCGCTGGAGGATCTGAGTCAGTGGCTTCGAGACCTCGGACAACCTTTCACCGCCTTTTCATTGGAACCTCCTCTCGAGGAGAACCATCTTCATCTTCTGAGTCAACGATGACTAGGTTGGCGCCCCTCTTTAATTTTTTATGAGGGGTAGGTGGTTTCCGGCTTACCTAAAAAAGCATCGGGAAAGTGTTAGGTTTTTAAACCCATAATGTTGAAAGGATTAAGATGGTGCATTAATATTACCTTCTGACCCTCGACGGAACTTTCAGTCTTCACCGAAATGGCAGTCTTTTTGGGAGCAGCTGCAAAAGACAAATGACAGTGCCACCCGTTAGTAATGATAAAGCTTTGTTTAAGAAGTCTAAAACGAAGAAGAGTCGACCTTCGAGAATTTCGAATTCGATGCGAACATCTTCGATATTAATATGAAGGTGCCTTTTGAAAGTATCGATGGTATGTTTAGTCGGAACCACCCGCTGTGCTTTAGGCTTCGACTGCTGTCTGAGGATTTTTATAGGATCCTCACAGATGAACCAATCTGGAAATGGAGGGGCAAGGGCCACTCCAAAATCAGCAGATGGCAATCGAGGAATCTTAGGGGGAAATAATTTGAAAGCCATCTCATACCGTTTCTCACGGGGGATGGATGAAGGAATTTTTAAATTCTCCATCTTTTTTAGAAATTTTTCCCTCAAAGTGACAGCAGCCTCGCGGACGGTTCGACTAATATCATCTGGTCGATAAGCAGTTTCAAAATATTTTTGGAAGGCTTGTATCTCCTTTATGTGAGTGGACCTACCTTTCTTGGTTTTTTCCTACACATCAACGAAAGCTTGATCAATCATTCGAGTAAGGCTGGCAGCATCAAGAAATTCAGAAGAATAATGTCTGGACCACCGGTTATAAAATTCTGGGGAACAGAAATAAGAGGGTTCAAAATAGAGTGGGGTAAGTAAGGATTTATGGGCATGGCGCGCCAATTGGGTCGAACATTCGAAGGGGTTAACGATGTGGTGTGGAAACAGAATATGAGACTTTTTTTCATATAAACACCTAGGCAGAGTTTGGATAAGCCCAAATTGTCTCGACACAAGATTTGGTTGATAAGCTATCAAGGAAGCTTGCCCTTTTGTCAGATTGAGCTTGTGGACAAGCAGTCGAGGCGTAAGGAATCGCTCCCAAATTAGCTTCGATTATTCTTCCTGTCTCTTGAGCAAAGATGGGAAAGGCCTAGTGAACCATTCAGGGCCGCGTTTCTGTTCTGCGAAGGGAGCCATCCCAGGTGTGAAGACATAGCGCTTCGCGAACATCTGGACGAAGCCTGAGAGGTTGGCTCGAAGTGTCTGCCCTTCTTCGCTGGGAGTAAGCTGAACTAAGCGGGGTCATTCGACTTGTCTTCCAGAGATTGAAGGAGACCCTTCATCGACTTCACCCTTATTTGGTAGGCTGCCTTCAAAAGTGGCATTTAACCATAATTGAAGTAACCAAAACGGCCCCGACATTACTAAGTTGCCGTTATTCTCAAGGTCTTTCAGTTTGCCGACATTTTCGCTTAAGGCCTCGTATAGACTTGCAAGGATCATTTTGCTCAAACATATTTCTCTCTTTGCATGCAACTGGTTCGCCAGTGTTAAGTATTTTCGCGCCACCTGCAAGGATTTAGTACAAAAAATACAACGAGACAACCACATGGCAAAAAAGGCTATATGTTCCTCGTCTCTAACAACAACATTATTCTTATCACGATAATGATTGATGAAATGGGTGTAAGTGTGTTTGATGGTTGAGAAACCAATGGTGTCTTGGCTATCAACTTCAGGGTCGTAAGCCAGTCCATGAGGTTTCAGCCCTACAATAGCAGCAACGTCGAACAAAGTAGGCGTCATCATCCCACATGGAAGATGAAAAGTGTAATGTGTGTTGTCCCAAAAGAACAAAGACGCAGCCAACATCAGGGGGCAGTAGTTGGGACCTACTTTCGACATCATAATAAAGTCGTAGATGCCCATGTCTTTCCAGTCTTGAGCTTTTGCCTTTTCTACCTTCTTCAACCAGTTGAGGTAGAGTTCAGAATCCTTGAAATATGGCGTAGCCCTAAATAATCTTGCGCCATCGTGGAGGTACTTGAGATCCACATTATAAACATCCAAGCTATCCGGATTATCCAAGGGAACCTTTTAGGAGTCTTTTTCCCTAGGGGTTTGGTTTTTCGGTAAGAAGGAAAAAACTCATTCAAACTGGAATAGTTTAAACCTAAGAGGGATAGAGGCCCAGACATGGCCAATGGTTTATTCGCGACAGTAACGGGTATGATTACCTGGGATTCATAGATATGGCGTTTCTCCTCCAGTAAAGGCTCACGCACGAGTTGCTGATTTTTCGCCACCTTCGGGCCACTCAGAGCAGCAAAAGGGGGAAGGATGGAAGAAGAGGTTTGTTTGTGAGACTGTGTCTTTTGTTTCTAGGATCTTAGTTCAGCCATGATGAGAGTTGGACGAGTGCTCTTGGAAGAAAAGATTGTGGGAAGAAAATGTGAAGCAATGTTGTAAAAAGATTGAGGAAGTAAAAGTGAAAAAGACGTTTTGAAAAGTTATTTATAAGTGAAAGAGGAAATTCAAGAGTTTTCTTTCATAAGTGGCTGGGGTTAGTGGGCCACGTGTATACTCAGGATGAGTTAGTAGGGGCGGCAGTTGTAACCTATGCTCTGTAGGAGTAATGATGGCTCACGATTTTGGTGATTCCCGAGAAATTTGCCATGATGTTCATGACGTCAGAGATCGTGCATCAAGGGGGCGTAACAGTTCCTTTTTGCGTGAGATTGTGGATATGTCCTTTCCCATTACCTTTCAGCTTCCTAAGCTCGAAGCAGTTGAAGTGGGTCCACACTCAGGATATAGTCGAAGGAAAACGACGTCGAATTTGGATGCTGTCAAAAAATGTACTTTCGGTAGTGTCGAAAACTACATTTTTGGGGGGCAATTTGTTAGCTCGCCATTTCGACGACCCATATTTTTGAGGCTATTTCAGCTTGTTAAGGGACCTACAGGTCCTCCAAGGACTTAGAAAAATCGAAGTCTTGGAACTAGATATTTCGACCGAAGTAGCGAAATTAGTCTTCGACCGAGATTTAGAAGTGGGGATGAATTGAGTTTTGAAATTTGAATATTGGAGGGAGTAGTTATATTTTCTTATGACTAAGAAGGACAAATGACGCTCATCGGACAAAGGACTGCATGCGGTGTGACACTTGTCAGAAATAGAGGGCCTAAGGAAGTTATTAGCAGTTACTATTATTATTATAAATAGGAGTCTTAGATATAAACTTAAGTGTGTTGTAATTTACTGTTGTACAAGTCACTCTTAAAATTACTCCAAGTATCCGAGTGTAGAGAAAAAAAGTATTATAGAGAATGTACGTGATGTAAACACACCATCCTTTATCTTTTCAATGAAGTTACTTTGTTTTCTTTACTTTTGTCAAGTATTTTTTACATATTTATTTCGTCTTTCCTTTTGTTCACCATTACAACTTCGACTAAGTCTCTCTCTCTCTCTCTCTCTCTCTCTCTCTCTCTCCCAGAAAAAACCTTTATCTCTTTTTCTTCTTGTAATTCTTCCTCCTTCCTTCTTTTAAACATAGTGGATAAGTTCGGTCCTTTTAAATTACTTCTTCTTGGTATTATCGAAACACATTTTAGATAGGTTCAAATAGAAATGCCCTTTAGCACATATCCTAGGATTTCGTATGGTCAATCCTGCAAGTTAGTCAATTTACACCAAATTGATAGACCAGAGGTTGTTTACCAAAAAAACACGGTAAACAGCATTGGAGTGCTAATCTTGTGGATCCGCTCTCCACGACCGCACCAGAATAACTCGAGTCACTTTGCAACCGCATCAGAGCAACATAAGTCATCACTCCAACTATCTATATTAGCAATTATGATTCCAGTACGAAACAACTTTAAAAAAAAATACCAAAGACATATGTTGCGCGGGAACGAAAAGGGTTTGATTCATCGTTTGTTATTGAGAAGATTCATTTATATTTTAACATCTCAAATTTGTTTTGAATTTTGTCTTAGTATAAACTTTAACTCTGCCCAAAATTAAACATCATTGATTGGTTAACATGACCATGAATTTAGATAGGGAAAAATCCTACTCATCTTAATCAATATTATTGATAAGATTTGGATGACCACAAACTTAAAAGCTTTTTTGAGAACAAAGACATACATGTCATTGACTCCATTTAAAAAGTCATGCAAGATGAATCAACCTGAGTAAAAACCCCAAAAGCCAAATGGTGTAAAGTGTAATGTAGACGTGCACTTCTTTTTAGAATACTTATGAGGTTGTGGTGTTGTAATTAGAGACAAACGATGCAATAATTATTAATGCCATGCAATCTCCATATTCAATTTAGACATATATCAATCAATTATGTATATCACTATATGTTTATAAAACCATCTTTAACTAAATCAATATTATTTGATGACAATTTAATCTGTCGCAACAAATCGGTTTCAAAAAATTGTTGATGATACCGATACTATTAATTATTGCTTGTGATGAAAAATCAATTATGATTAATCCATATCGGGACAACAGTAATAAACATTGGAACACTTATACCAATCGAAATCATGAATTTATGTTACCGCGAGACAGTTAATAAGTTCCATTCTCAAGGTAGTGCCCCTTCCTTAACAACAAGCAAGGGCACCCTTTCCTTCCGTCTCACAGTCTTTTCCTTCAATTCCCCCAACACCTCATTTGGATCTGAACCCCCTCCTTTTTTACTAGCACCCTTCCTTGTTGCTAGCCTCTTCAATTCAGAGCAAAACCCTGTGATTTGACTCATGATTTCTCTGCCACCCAACAAATTCTGAGCAGAGAATGTACTCTTCAGTTTCGATCTTCTATTACTTCTCACAGAACACTCTTTCGAATCATCTGTCTCTTCCAACAACGGTTTCTTCAGCTTATTAGTCCCACCATCGAAATTCGTCGCAGTAAAGTTTGGATTTTTATTCTCAATATCTTCATCCAAGTTCCTTGAACAAATGGGTCTTCTGTTTTCATCACAATTCTTAACAATCGAAGATTTTTCCCTAATTTATACGACAGAAAAACCATATCAATTAATCATAATCATAATCATAATCATACATTAATCTTAGTTTTCTTAATGACAGATCTTGTAATAGTACCTTCTGTTTCTCTCTCTAAATGGAAGAATCTCAGAAAAGCTTGCAAATTTCAATAGCTTTGCCTTGGAGTTCGTTGTTGTGGTTGTTAGTTTTGGAAAATCTTTCACAATTTTGCGATGTTCGCAATCTGAAAATGAAGTGAAATTAAGAAACAGAGAAAACCCATTAAAAAAATGATCTTTATCTTTATCCTCTTTTGAAGAAGATCTTACCTTGAGTGCAAAACCATGTTTCATCAACTTCTTCATCATCAAGAAGCTCATTGGAAGCAGTGAAATCGAACCATTTCGGCGCGTCGAAGTACTCGTAAGTGTCGTCTTGAACGAAGGTGGAGTCGATGTTGTTCCAATCGATGTTTTCTGGTTCCATCTTCGGTTGAAAGAATCTGAAAAGTTCAAAAACAAGAAATTAGAAATAAGAATTTGAGACGAAAAGAGAGTGAAAATTTTGAATGAGAATGTAATGGTGATGGTTGAAGAATGTGTTGTTGTTCTTTGAGATGAATCTATGAGCGCAAAAGATTAGATGAAGAATTGAAAGTGTGTTGTGTTGTGGGGTTTTGTATAATGTAACAGAATGTTTCTTTAACGTTTGAAGTTTCATAGGATTCGACCGTTGGTGTCACTTTGCTGGATGAAACACTTCTTAGTTGTTTATTTTTTTTGGTCAAACTGATTTTATTTTTATTTTTATTTTTAATTGTTATTTTCAATAAAATATCCACTTTTTGTTGGCAGCATCCCTTTTTGCTCATGCACCTTTTCTGTTGTTAATATTTTTTTTCCAGCAATATTGAATTAGGAGTGAGTAAGGGGACGAGTCGGAATGAGTTATGAATAATTCTAATTTTGTCTTAAATTTTGATCGAGTTATTTAATGACCTTAATCCTTATTTAAATTTGTAAAAAATTCGATAATATATAAGTTAGTTTAGACCGGATTAATATAAGACGATATCGGATTGATCCGAAATATATAGAGAGAAAAATTTTAGTGACTTAAGAAATTTATTATAGTATTTTAAAAAATTCATTTAAATAAGAAATATGAATAAAATCATTAGCATGAATGAAAAACAATGAATACATCTAAAATCAAATTTTTAAAATAAAAAATATGATGTAATTTTATATATGTCATCACCTTTTTATTTTTTCTAAAACATAGTAAGAAGATGTAAATAAAAAACATGATGTAAGAACTAAAAAAGTGTGAAAGTTGGAAAGTGGAAAGATGTGTACTTAGTATTTACAGAGCATCTTTAATACAGATCTTTAATAGTTAAATTTTTTATAGTTAACGATGATTATAAAAAATTTGCATTGGAATGACTATAACATGACATTTAATTCACTAACTTTTAATATTCAGAAATTATATAGCTAACGTATGCTATTTATTTTGAAACATATAATTACAATAAAAAACTAAATAAAAAAATAATTACAGTTAAAAAATATAAAATATAGGGTCAAGTTTTAGTTTTTTATAAACTATCATTAAAGTAAAAACAACTCAAATCAACTATAAATTTTTTAAATCTTACAAATCACTTTAGACCCACAAAAAATATCTTAGTTTACCCACTTAAGATACTCCCACTAAAGATGTTGTGCATATATTAAATTATGAGGTGGAAAGTGGAAAAGTCTATTGAAAATTTGGAATAATCTAAATATACCAATAAATTAAATAATTAAATAGTACCACATGTGCATTCATAATATTAGGACGGGTAGGGTAACCCGAGGGTCAACCCGAACCCATCCCACCTGAAACCGGATTTATTTTTGGACAGTCATTTTTTTCTATTTTTTTTTACATGAGACGGAAAAAAGACTAACCCGAAACTATTGGGTTAGAACGGGTCTTCAGGTTGGGTTGCGTTCTGTGTGTGTGTGTGTATATATATATATATATATATATATATATATATATATATATATATATATATATATATATATATATATATATATATATATATATATATATATATATATATATATATATATATATATATATATATATATATATATATATATATATATATATATATATATATATATATATATATATATATAGAGAGAGAGAGAGAGAGAGAGAGAGAGAGAGAGAGAGAGAGAGAGAGAGAGAGAGAGAGAGAGAGAAAGAGAGAGAGAGAGAGAGAGAGAGAGAGAGAGAGAGAACGGATGGTGCACTAACAGTGTATTATTTTTATACTGTCAATCAATGACAACCATACATCCTACCAAGTCAGTCTGAGATACCCTGAAAGAGTCAAAGCTTATATGTTATGGTGCCTAGAGCCAAGTCACAGGAGGTGTATTACCAGTCGAGATGTAGTTTTCGATGAAGCTGAGATGACCTTCAAGAAAACTGATGATGCTGACGAAGAGTTGAAACAGGGAGAGATTCCTGTTGAGGTGGAACATGTTGATGTTGAATTGCGTATCACAGATGAAGTCGAAGAAGAACCAGAAGCTGCTGTCGAAGATGAGGATACTGATAATGACTACCTGCTAGCAAGAGATAGGTCGAGAAGAGTCATCAAGCCACCTTAGAGACTTGGGTATGCAGATCTTATAGCTTATACCTTAACCTCTGCAAGTGAGGTTCTAGACAAAGAACCTAGAAACTATAAGAAAGCTATAAGGAGTCGAAATAAGACTGAATGTCTGAAGGCCATGGATGATGAGATGAAATCTCTTCATGATAACGACACTTGGGAACTGATCAAGAAACCTGTTGGAGCCAAGTTAGTCAGTTGTAAGTGGATTTTCAAAGTTAAGGAAGGAATCGAAAGAGTGGCGTCGAAGAGATACAAGGCAAGATTAGTTGCTAGGGGTTTCACTCAGAAAAAAGGTGTCGAATTTAATAATTTGTTCTCTCCTGTTGTGAAGCACAGGTCCATTCAAATGTTGCTAGCCACGGTGGCACAGTTCGACCTTGAACTTGAACAAATTGATGTGAAAACTACGTTCTTGTATGGTGATCTAGATGAAACAATCCTAATGAGACAACCTGAATGGTATGTCAAAAGGGGGAAGAAAGATTATATGTGCAAGCTGAAGAGATCCTTATACGGACTGAAACAATCTCCCCAATAGTGGAATAGGAGATTCGACAAGTTCATGACACGCATAAGTTTCATTAGAAGTCAGTGCGGCCACTGTGTTTACTTCAAATTTCGACCTGGTAATTCATTTTTTATTTTGTTTCTTTATGTGGATGATATTCTAATAGCAAGCAACAATGTTGAAGATGTAATGAGGGTGAAGGCTGAACTTAATAAGGAGTTCGACATGAAGGATCTGGGAGTTGTGTCCAAGATTCTTGGGATTGACATCCGGAGATTGGGAAAGCAGTCGAAATTATACTTATCTCAATAGGCACACCTACGGAAGATTCTCGAAAAGTTTGGTATGTCGAATTCAAAGCCTATTGTGACTCCGACAAACCATCAATTCAAATTGAGTATAGATCAGTGTCCCAATACTGATGTCAAAAGAGCTTATATGAATAACATTCCATATGCTAATATAGTGGGTTCTTTGATGTATGTTATGGTATGCACTAGACCTGACATAACATATGCAGTAAGTCTTGTAAGTAGGAATATGGCAAATCCTGGAATGGCTCACTAGCAAGCATTGAAGTGGATTATAAGGTACATAAATGGGTCTCTGGACAAAGTCTTAATTTATAGTGGAACCTTAGGTGAAGATAGTAAAACAGCAATCAAAGGATATGTTGACTCTGATTATGCAGGTTGTATGGATTCCAAAAAATCTATTTCTGGATATGTGTTCACTATGTTTGGCACAACAATAAGTTGGAAAGCAACACTTCAGAAGGTTGTTGCCTTATCAACCACTGAAGCGGAATATATCGCCCTAACTGAAGTTGTGAAGGAAGCATTGTGACTTGAAGGTTTTGCAAAGTAGCTGAAACTTCAAGGTCGAGTTATCACTATTAAATATGATAGTCAAAGTACAATACACATGTCGAAGAATTCAGCCTATCATGAGTGAATCAACCACATTGATGTGAGGCTGCATTTTGTCAATTTCGACATATCATAATGTTGTTGATATAATCACCAAGACATTGTCTATTTGCAATTTTTTCCACTGTATGCAGTTGATAAAACTACATGAAGAAAGCTAGTTTGTTTTTTGAGGTTATAAAGTTTGTTCTAAGGTGGAGATTTGTGAGATATTGGATCGATTTCTAGTATTGTCGACAGAGATTTAGTATGTCGTCGAAGTCTACTCACATGGTGTTGTCGAAGACCTACATGATGTAGTCGAAATGTGTTATAGTATGTAGTTGTTGAATTGGGCCTTGAGTTAAGAATCCAATTGTTTAAGTTAGCTTGTACCATAAGTTAGCTTGTAATGGATAATTGTTAAAATGCCCATTAGTTTAGTATGTTAGATTTATTATAAATAACATACTAGTATCTCATCTTAAGTGTGATAGATCGTAATTAGGGTGAGATGGTTATTTGTTATTCTTTGAGTATTTGTAATCTAATTTAAAGAGAAAGTAAAGAATAACAGTTGTAACCAATCCTTGTTGTTATTCTTGTTTTTCCGTTAGCCCTAACTCTCTCTGTTTTTTATCATAAAAATGATCTTACATCCGTGTGTGTTTTTTTTGTTTTCTTTTTTCATTTTAACGTATTTGAGCATGTATATGCGAATAAAATTCATTATGTTAACTCATGTTATGTGAAAATTTTAAAATTAATTTCATAATAAACAATTTTCAAAGGTTTATTTCATAGATTTAAATTTATATGTTTATTTTATATATTTAATTTATATATACTTTCAAATGTTTCTTTGTCGTGTATCCAATAATGTAATTCACATTATTTAATGAGTTAAAAATTAGTAGCTTGTCATACTCATTAAAAAAATTAAATAATGAATGTGTAAATCAAAATTGCTTCTAAGATTATGTTGAATTATTAGAGAGATTTGTTTATTTTCTTTTATTTCTATTATATTATAATTAAGTCTCTCGCAATAAACTTGTATTTGTATTTTCTTTTTAAATGATTTTTTTATAGATATAAAACAGCCATTTGATCAATGTCATTGTAATTGATTCGAATTAAAAGAATATATGATTTGATCAAGTAAATTTGTTCATCATGATTCAGATTAAGAAATGTCTTGATTCAAATCATGACATAAATATTTTTCAAAAATTGAATTTGAGAAATATGTTTTGAATCATGATTTTGTTTGAATCGAATCATAACAATTATTTTGTGAATTTGTCTGTTTTATGGAACATGATTCGAATAATTTATTTGTGTGATTTGAGTCAAGAGCATGTTTTTACCAAATGTATTTGGT